TTACTGGATTTGTCTCTTGTACTTACAAACCATCTACAAGACTATGGGAAGACTTTTTGGTCCAGCGGGAGCATACAGATTAGGAAAGATGTTTGGCAAAAAAAAAAAAAAAAAAAGGCTAAAGTTAGAATTAAGAAATTAGATGATGGGATTTATCAGATGGAATATCTGAAGATTAAACATTTGTTTGAATATGGTTAAAAAAATAGAAAAATTCTGGATATAAATGTATTTTAGTTTAAGAGGGATGGACCCCTCAAGTAACATAGTATTTTTTTTTGTGATATGAGAAATATAAAAATGTTGGGATGGTTTATATGAGGGAAATGTTTTAGATATTTAAGTGTAATTGATCTTGAGAAAATCTCAAATGATAAAAATGTTTTGAATAGATTCAAAAGATTAGATAATTGGATTTATTAGATGGACTATTTCTCAAGTAGTATACTATTTCCTTCTTTTTCTTCTCTTTTTTTGTTGCTTTTTTTTAAGATATGAGAAATGTAAATTTGTTGGGATAGCTTCTATGAGGAAAAAGACAAAGGGGAGAATTTTGCAATGTTGGAAGAGCGATGATAGATAAGGAGGTCTGATTAATAGGCAACTTAATTTTTCGGTAACCTGATGCTTTCCAGGATGTTGAACTTTTTCCCTACTGGCATGGCCCAAGCTGAGGATGGGGAAAGTTGTAAACACACCTATAAAAATTCAGGGCAGAAGGGTGTCCACCCTGCTATCAAGTTGGAAAGACAATGGAAGATTTTCCTCACTGCTCAGTCGCCTCCCTCTTGACGGCTCTCGCTCTCCTCAGGAGCAGCCCCTTCTCCCCAGCCCCTCCCGCTGCTTCCTCGGCCAATGGAGTCCTCTCCTTCATGAACACTGCTTTCCAGCCTACCGGAGGTTCGCCATTTCCCATGGAAACAGTTGCTATGGTAGTGCAAGTGGGGAACTCCATCTTTTGGTCCTTCTTACCTCAGCATCTTCACCGCCTCTGGCAACTGCAGCTTGTGAGCTCCTTAAAGCCTGCATGAAAGGACTCACAATGGGTGGCCACGCTCTGCTACTCTGTTCTGCCAGACTAGAGTCCTGGCTACTGGAAGTTAAGAGTGGGTTCAGGCCCAATATTAATAGCAACTTTATTGATGATGCTGCCCTGGAGAAGTGGAAACTGGCAACCACTCCCGTTGAGAGATGGGATGAGATAGGAGGAGGCTCTTGGCTTTGTGCCTTCAATATCTGAGGGAGCAAGGGTCCATGAAATGGATTAAAAAAAAAAAGTTGGCCTCAGAAGGATAAAAGCTTAAAGTGCCTGTGATTACCGCCCTGAGTCCCGCAAGGGAGATAGGGCGGTATATAAATTTAATAAATAAATAAATAAATAAATAAATTAAAAACTTTTGAGAAAAAAAAAGACTTTCTTTGATCCCTGCCTATGAATAGCCCAAGATATACCTTTCCTCACCAATGTTCACAAAGCTGCCAAGATGAGAATCACTTGACCCAAGAATAGTTCAGAGCCAGCTGTATGGACTTGCCTACTGGAAACCTCTGCACAGGGGTGGTGGAAAGAGATCTTTCCACCTAGGGTTAACAATAACAATAATAGAGTTGTAAGGGACCTTGGAGATCTTCTAGTCCAACCCCCTGCTTAGGCAGGAAACTCTATACCATTTCAGACAAATGGCTATCCTTCTTAAAAACCTCCAGTGTTGGAGCATTCACAACTTCTGGAGGCAGGTTGTTCCACCGATTGTTCTGTCAGGAAATTTCTCCTTAGTTCTAGGTTGCTTTTCTCCTTGATTAGTTTCCATCCGTTGCTTCTTATCCTGCCTTCAGGGGCTTTGGAGAAGAGGTTGACCCCCTCTTCTTTGTGGCAGCCCGAGATATTGGAAGACAGCTATCATGTCACCCCTAGTCCTTCTTTTCATTAAACTGGACATACCCAATTCGAGCGACCGTTCCTTGTATGTTTTAGCCCCCAGTCCCCTAATCATCTTTGTTGCTTCTCTTCACTCTTTCTAGAATCTCAACATCTTTTTTACATTATGACGACCAAAACTGGATGCAGTATTCCAAGTGTGGCCTTACCAAGGCCTTGTAAAGTGGTATTAACACCTCATGTGAACAGGGGTTAATGCAGCCTAGCACTGTATTGGCTTTTTTTGGCAGCTGCAGCACACGGCTGGCTCCTATTTAAGGGATTGTCCACTAGGACTCCGCGATCCCTCTCACGGGTTCTCCAGCCAACCCAGGGAGAAGCCACGTGGGCAGGAGGAGGCAAAGGATGAACCCAGAGTTTTAGGGGCTCCGTTGCAAGGGAGCCTCAGACACATGTTGGGAACAGAACCAAGGCCATCTAAAAACCTTGGAAATAACCAGGAGAAAAGGCACTAGCAGTCAAGCTTGGTAGATCCTGCTTTCCTAAATGCTAAAATTTTTGAAAGATTACAAATAACAGATTTCACAATTAAGCACTCTGCCCCTCAAGCCTGCAGCAATACTTTATTCTTATCTTCCTGATTTGCTTTTCTTAAAAAACAGGACTTCCTCCTTAGTGCAATTCTGGAGAGAACCCCAACAGTTGGCAATTTCCTTCCCTCTTTTGATGAGGCCTTCCATTTCACCCCCACCCTCATTCTCTGTTCTAAGAACAAAGCTGGGGGGGGGGCAGTTGTTGAACATGTCGTGCTTGATGCAGTCGTGGGCTGTTTGCTGTCTGGAATCACACGGCTGAAATGAAGACAAATATAAAGAAGAGAAACAATCCTTAAAAACTCATAACAAACCATACTTTATAGCAGACAGGCAGCAGAGACGTACGGCTTAGAAGCAAAGCAGGCACTTGAACAGCTCTGTTCTTCATAAGGAATTAGGTCCTACCTTTTGTTGCATTTATCTCAGGGTGCCTTATAATGCACACGAAAGCAGTTTGCAGCAAGGAACACCAGGGCAATAATAACCTTTTTCTCTAACATGGCCTGCCAAGATGTTGGGGACTGAAATTCCCAGAATTCCTTGTGTGGCCAAAGCCACCAGGAGCTGGGAGCCAAGGGCAGCTGGAGGCTCTTAGCCAAAAATCCTAAGAGGCAAAAATAGTGGGGACCAGGTCACTTTAAAAAGAAAGCTGCTTACTCACCTGAAATGGAAATGTTCTTTAAAAGCATTGAGAAAAGCAGAAGTAAAATTGGGAGCAGAAATTTGGAGGTGTTTTAATTATCTTAATCAGCTGCTTTTGGTCCCCAAATCATAGTCTTCTTGAAACTTTGTGGGGAAGGACTATTCTGGAAACTGGAACCCTTAAGATCCACATGATAGCTTTATATATTTATTATATTAATTTATGTGGCCATCCAAGTCACATTTGCAACTTTAGAGTTGGGAGTGATCAGCAATGTGCAAATAGGATTGTTAACAATCACTAAAAAAGTAATTTCTGGTAGAAATGTTAATTCACTGTCTTCCTTTCTTTTAAAGGCTGAAAAACTCTCTGTGACCTATTATGTTGGTGGTGCTGCATTTCCTTGCCGGGCAGGAGATGACTTTGGCTGCTTAGAATTCCTCAAAGGGAGAACTTCACTCTTTGAGGAGAACAGAAACATAAATCGCAGGAGGAAAAAAGGAAGGAAAACACAGATCGGTCGAGAGAAAGGCTTCCTCCACTTCTCAATCCCACCAAACACTGGCTGCCTTCTGACCCCCAAGCGCAGCTGAATGACCAACCAGCTACTGACCATCCTCTTGGGCAGCGCTTCTGTCCTGGCCGTATGTCTGAAGTGCAGGGAAGTGAAGGAACGTTGCACCAAACCAGCCCAGCAAGAGCCTCCAAGAGGGAGGCAGAGTTCAGGCGCTCCCTCCCTGCTGGTCGGCAGAGGCTGCCAGGTGGGCCAGGAGAGGCTGGTGCGGACGGAGCCGAGGCTGGCTCAAGGGCAGCTGGGGGCTCTTGGCCAAAAATCTCAAGAGGCAAAAATAGAAAAGGGGAAAAGGGCCCGCTCGCCCCCCCCCAACAAAAGGGCATTAGGCAGACAGCCAGCAGCCACTCCATTCCAGGAGCAAAGTGTGACACAGCAGGATGTGGCATAAGAGGCTCAACACTGACCAAAGACCCAAGTAGGAAGGACAGACAGTTCTGTGGCTTTGACCCCCGTGGCACAGCCACTCGGCCTCGATGCAGCTTGAAAATCCTGAGCCAGCTTTCTCGCATTCGTTATGTGATGACAACAACATCACATAACCAATGTGGAACTCCCAGATTGATCATTGGCCTCAGTAAAGATTCTTCTTCCCTGGAATTCTACATGAAGAAAATCTGAATTCTCCACCCCAAAAAACTGTCCAGAATGTACCAACTTCCCCATTTTACTTAAAGTGTATTTGCGTGGAACACACAAAACCCAGTCTCCAACCCCTTAGAAATGTTACCACCCACTTCCCATCTCCAAGTCACTTCTTCTAAAGATCCATAACTACATGAATTTTTATTTTTTATACATGAAATAGATAAAGCAGCCTCTGCATTCTACGTCGCCTACAAAAGCTTTTCCTTTCGTCTCCAGCTTATGATTGTGTGGGACAAAGCCTGCCTTGGGGACATCTTATGCTGTGCCAGTCAGTTCCACTTGACCCAGGCAGGAAAGGAAAAGAAGAATTCAAACCTCTGTGAATCACCCAAGCAAACAAATCTGCTTATGTAACCTCCCTCTTAAGCTGTGGCAGCCTTCCGTGTTTTGTGGTTACAGAGCCAGAACTTGTGGCCAGCCACTTTCCTGCTATTCAGGTGGGGCCTTCAGGACTGCTGTAAAAGTTGATCCATAGCCGGAAAAGCAGAAACTGCAGCATTTCCTGATTTAACCAATTCTCCAGGTATGTCAAATGCCTTTTTGCCTTTGCCTGAATAGGTTTCCAGGCTCCCCGTCTGGACTGCAGTGCGCCCCCCGCTGGCCAGCTGCGCACACAGCCACAGAGAGTTCCCGTGTATTAAAAAAAGAAATATCCGTTACAAATGAAGAGTCACACGTCTGTTTAATGGACTGCTTGTACAGCCTTTCTCCACAATTGCTTTGCTCCTACTCCCACAGCATTCTTTCTTGCTGACCCCAGAAGACAGGAAAGGAGAAGAAAGGAAGAGAAGAGCCTTATATGAACATAACCAGGTCTTTACTTGTTGCTTTTGAGAAAGCTGCCAGGATGCTGGCAAAAACCACATCTGGAGACTGGGAAGCATCAATAGCTGTATGGATTCCACGCCGGGAGTAGTAGTCTACCAGCGGACTGGTCTGGGTGTGATAAGCCTTCAGGCGTGTTTTCAGCGCTGCTTCGTTGTCATCTGACCGGCGGATCAGAGATTCCCCGGTGACCTGGCAAGGGCAGCAATTTGTCAGCGAGGGCACCAGCCAAGGACCCACCACTGTTCAGCATTTCTGAGCTGGAAAAACCTGGCACCCAACCCTTAACGACACGGACGTCAAGCCACCCCAAGCAGCTGAAGGCACAAAGCCCCTCTGAGCTGATTCCCAATCGCTCCGTCCCTCTTTTCAGCCAAGCATGAGGCTGCTGCTGGGGTCAGTGACTTGGCCTGGCATTGAATTGGGCAACTCTTACAGCAGGGGTGTCAAACTGCCGGCCCACGGGCCAGTTGCATCATGCAGAAGCTGCGCCCACCCCAGCTCTGGCAATGCAAAAAAAGTTGCGATACGTCGCAACACATCACGTGACGTGGCGAATTTGACACCGTGTCTTACAGGGAGTCCTTGGCACATTATCAGTCATTTAGTGACCACCTGAGGTTATGGCAGACCTCCAGAAAGCTACCTATGGCCCTGTTTCAAAGTTCTGATATCACCCAACCCCCGTGGCCACAGGGCTGCATTCTGGGCATTCAGCAACCGGCCCTCCCATCGATAGCTGGAGCACCCATGGCTGCAATCCACAATGCTTTTGCCAGAAACCAGAATTCACTTCCTGGTTCCAACAAAACCAACGAACAAGGGGTTCGCTTAACAACTGTGGCATTTGCTGAATGACTGCAGGGTTCATTTAATGACTGCCCCCTAAAACGTAAGATTGGGTCCAGTCACAGGATGACCCTCTTTATGACCGTCATGACTTACAAGCGTAATTGCCAGGCTTGTGGACTCCCTGCATCCTGTTTGACCATTCACCTCCCGCTGGCCATCCCTACAGTGGGGGTCCTCACAGCAGTGTCCAGTGAGGCGGGTGTGCCAAGGCCTGCCTGCGCAACCCCTGGGCCCTCTCCCAACGCCTGGCTTGAAAGCAACCCAGAGAAGGCCGCCAGCTGGAAGCTGAGCGATGGTGACAGCTCCTGGGCTGACCTTCCTCCTGCCTCTGGCATATTAATTTGTTCATGAATGAATTTTCTATAGCCACCCATTTCAGTCAATGACTCTGGGCGGCTTGCAAATCAAAAAATATATTGAAATTAAAATGCTAAAAACATCTTAATACAATAAAAACCTTCAAAACAAACACACACACAACAGCTGAGTTCCTTAGCCAGTTAGCAGTACCGCAAGGGAGCTGGGCACAGCTTAGCACAGTCAGCCATCCAGGCTCAGGAACACAGCCCAGTTTTAGGGCCTTAGAAAAGACTAACAGGGTTGGAGCCATTCTGATCTCCAAGGGGAGGATGTTCCACCCTGCAGGGGTCACGGTGAAAAAACAACAACGTCTAGTTCCCACCCACCCCAAAGATATCCTAAGGCTTTAGAACAACTAGAAGGATTTCAATACAAACCCCCAAAGGGGAGACACATACATCGTCCTTCATATGGATCTTGGGTGGGTTGAATTCCTCATGGTAGGAACGGCCACTTCCTGGGTGGATTAGCCTGGAAGGGAAACACAGAAAAGCCTCACCCCTCTTTCATCTGCAGCACCTATATGGGGCAAAGCTAGTCTACAAGCACTATAATTTAAAACCTTTGCAATTTCCAAAGGTTAGGAAAGCAATTTTTCATAAATGAAAAGGAAACAGAAGGGTACAAAGAGGGAATATGTTGGGAACATCACTACAGCACTGGTAAAATCAAGGGAGTGATGCAAGGCCACCAAGGATGGGGAGTTTTCTTTTAGCACACACTCACACACATACACAGATGACTTGGATTTGCAGCATAACTAAAAGTTTCAATATGTAGGACTCCAGGTATTTCCTATTTAGTCACTGACCACTGATCACATTGGGCTGATCTGCTCCCCTTGTATTACAAAATATGCTTCTAAGTGGGCAAACTTTCCTTTATAAGACGCTTTCACACACTCTGCCCTTGGCTTTGTAGCACGGTGGTCAAAGACAGCAACACCACCCAAGGAAAATGACAGTTACCGTCCAGTGATTCTCCGGATGAGCAAGGAGTCAGCAATGCTGAATTCGATGACTGAATCTAGTTTCTCTTTCCTCTTCACCATCAGCTCGTCCAGCTGTAAAATTGTGAAAGGAAGGCAGCCTAGTGAGCTAATTCGCACCGAAGCTCACCAAATCTCTTCTGGGCCAAGGCAGATCTTTGCAGCCGGCAAACGGAGTCAAAGGCAGAGCACGTTCCCTTCTTGGTTCTTCCGACAGGACTAAGGCCCCCTCCCAGGACATGCCTCCTTGAAGTACTGGCAACACGCAGGGTGTCCGCTTTGCACAGGGCACAAGTGATGTCCGAGCCCAAGGAGATCACTTACCATCTCTGCTTGTCGCACAGTGCGAGGGAACCCGTCCAAGAAGAAGCCATTTTTGCAGAGGGGGGTCTCGAGGTTCTTCTCAATCAGCTCTACCACCATCTCATCACTCACCTAATAAAAGAGGAAGGGGAACCCACTGAGTGCAGCAGCTGCTGGGTCCACTCAAATCCACTAACAAATTATCTTTGTGGTGATCCCGGCCACAGCTGATTTACAAACGCCTTGCTCAACCTGCCTGTTTGGGTGCAGCTTTACAATGTTTAAGCCTTTAATTCAAAGAGCAAAAGATACTATTAGAACAGAACAAGCCAGCGTCACACCCTGCCCCACCCCTGACACTTTCCAGAATTGGACCTAATGGGATTCTGGTCCGTTCAAAGGCATCTGTGGAAGCCACGGTTTCCACGCCTCCTGCCACTGTGCAATGAGGTCATGATGCTCCTCCCTGCCCTGCAAGTCCCCATCGGCCTGTTATTTGGGGAACAATGTGACAGGACAGGAGAGGCTGGTTTATGGCAACATTCAGTAGACAGAGTCTTCTTCTTCTTGAACTTTTGGAAAGCACAGCCCAAAAACTACCACAGAGGAAGCTACTCTCCTCACTCACCAGCTTCCCAGCATCCATCGTCTCCTTCAACCTCTTCCCCAGCTCTGAGCCCGAAGCCACCATCGCCCTCAACATATCTCCCGTAGCCAGGTGGCACACACAGTACGTTTCAGCGAGACGAGGAGCCTGGACAAGAAAGAAGAGTCAGCAGTTCTCGGTTATATACAGGTAGTCCTCGACTTACGATTGTAATTGAGCTTGCGATTTTGGTCATAAGTCATGACGTTAATAAAGCAAGTTACCACACAACGGTCCAATTTTAAAACCCTTATTGTGGCAGTCATTAAGCAAACACCATGATTATTAACCAAGCTCATTGTTCAATGGGGGGGGGAAATGGAACAAGTTCAAATCTGGGTCTTAGGTAACTTTTTCAAGTCCATCATAACTTTGAACAATCACTAAGCAATCAGTTGTAAGTCAGAACTATCCGTACTTTCATTGTGCTTTATTTTTTTGTAGCAAATTGTTGAACTAAAGAATATGGCTTTTGATTTAGTATGAGGAAATATAATTTCTTTTGCATCTTAACGCTTTCATGTATCTTAAAAAGAAGAAAATACTAAGGAATACTTCATTATTCCTTTTCCACTAAAGATTTCCATTTTTATGGGCTACAGATAATCCTTGGAGGAAATAAAGCTTCCCTTGATCAATCAGCCAGGAGGTCCAGTAATAACAACCTGTTCCCAACAGCAGAACAGCATTCTGTCAGAAGTCTTCAAAAGGCTCAGAGGGATAAACTTCCTGGTCCCTAGCAGGTCAGGGCGACCAAGTACCCTGCCTCTCACCCCACTCCGCACCCCGGCCAGCCTGGAGGGCCAAGGAAGCCAGGCGCTGCCTCCTTTGCTTTGCACCTCTGGCCCAGGAGGAGCGTCCCAGGGACGCCGGGCTGGGGCCGAAGGATCGGTCGGGGAGCCTGACGGCCGAATCTGGGAGCTGCCCGGAGACTCCCGGCTCTGCATCTTTGCAGGGCACAGCGGAGCCCGGGGCTGCCGTCCCCGGAGAGGTCTTGCCGAGATGGGCCAGAGAAGCCCGTTTCGCAAGGCATCGCCTCGGACACGCCGCCCCGCCCCGCCCTGCCCTGCCCGGCGATGCAACGGGCGAAGGCCTCGCTGGGAAGAGAGCCAGGCAGGGAAGCGCTGGCTTCGCCGAGAGAGCAGCTCTGGCCCAAAGGCGGCCGGACACTGCGGACTCCGGCTCAGGGCAACTGCTGGCCGACGCTGCGCCTTTCGGGGCTGCACCTGGAAGGAAGCGCTTCGACTCCGCTCTTTAAAGCGAGGGGCCACCGCCGTCCTGCTCTGGGCCGGCGCTGCTCAGCCGCGGCCGACTTCAGCGCCCGGAATCCCCCCGCCAGCATGAAGAATCTGCCCCCGCCCGCGCGCCCCCTTCCCCGCAGACGCCCGCCCAGCCCACCGGCCCCGGGCTCCTTGCCGAGGCGCCCCGCCCGGGCCCGGCCACGGGCTGCTCTGCCAGGCGGGCCCGCTGCCCTCCCCCGAGCTGCGCCGCCGGAGCCCCCGCCCCGCCCCGCCCCGCCCCGCCCGCGGAGCGGCTCCCCCGCAGGACCCGAGCGGGCCCCCCTCCGTCGCCTCCTCCGAGCCGGACTCTGCCGCCGCGGGCCTGGGCGCTTCTGGGGACAGCCGGGCCGGAGCGACCAAGGAAAACTCACCTGAGTGCCCTTCCCGGCCCCGGGCGGCCCCAGGAGCACGGCCCGCACGCCCTTCCGGGCCCCGCGCCCCAGCGCCTCTCGCCCGCCTTCCGCGCTCGGAGCCATCGCGCCGCTCGCCCGGACCCTCCCGCGCCGCCACCTGACCCAGCAGCCGAGCGCGGGACACCCGCCCCGCGCGCCTGGCCATTGGGGCGACGGCCGTCCCTCAGGCGGCGTGTACGGCTTTTGCCCAATCACTTTATCGCGGCGGCGAGATCTTGCCTCTGATTGGGCGTCCCGCCCCAAAAGGAGGCAGGGATGGTAGAGCTGCGCCTGCGCACTCTCTGGCAGGGAGTGGCTTTCGTTCTTGGGCTGCGTGACCATTGATTGGACCACGCAAATGTATTCCCGGAGAATGGGAGGAAAAGATCCTGCGGCTCCCCCGCCTGGTAATCGGAAGGTGGCGCTCGCGTGCTCCCTCCGGGCGGGTTTACCAGGCTCGGAAACGGATTCAGGCAACGTTTGGGAGGAATTCTGGGAGTTGAAGTCCTCTCAAAGTCGCTGAGCTTGAGAAACGCTGTTCTGCTCTATACTGTGTTGAATCCCTTGATCAGCACCTGTTGGAGCTCCACCTGGAGCTCTGCGAGTGACTCACTGCAGCGTGCTTCCTTAAGCCAATGAGCACATCACTTGGACCCTCTGCCATTGTTGGCTTTCTGGCCGAAGATTTTTCCACCACAAGCGACACTCGTTGCCTCCACTTCTGCTGCTCTTCTATTCGTTGCATTTTAAAAGCAACCCCAACCTGTCCGTATCCACGCCAGAGTGCTTGCCCTTTGGAGGGGCAACACGTTGGCGCCCTCTAGGGATCAGACCCCAACATAACAGGTACTCCTCCAGTTACGGAACTAAGATTTCTATTCTTAGGCAAGGAGGTTGTGAAATGAGTTATGCCCGAATTTTATGACTTCTTTTGTCATAGTCATTTAGCGAATCACTGCACTTGCGAAGCGAATCACGTAGCCCAGTGGTGGCAAACCTATGGCACGGGTGCCAGAGGCGGCACTCAGAGCCCTCTCTGGGGGCACGCGTGCCGTCGCCCCAGTCCTAGGCCTTCAGCTGGGTTTTATAAAACTTTTTCGCTTTAGGCCTCCGCTGCCATGTCAAAAAAAAAAAAAAGGTTCAATCAGTCAATTTCAACTTCTTGCAGGAAAAAAAAGGTCTTGCAAAGTTGGAATTGATTGATTGAACTTTTTAGTCCCACCCAGTCTATCATTACCCCAGCCACGCCCACCCGGCACTCAACGATGCATAAGTGGGTTTTGGGTTGCAGTTTGGGCACTCAGTCTCTAAAAGGTTCGCCATCACTGACGTAGCCGTTACGTGAATCCGGCTTTCCCATTGACTGCTTGTTGGAATCTTGCGAATGGCGATCACGTGGCCCCGGGATTCTGCAACCATGGTAAATACATGCTGGCTGTGTCCAGTGATACTGCTCTCACAATATATAAAATCAAAATAGCCGACATGATCTGGGAGAAGCATGGTGGTTTTCCTTGGTAGTAAAATAGCCTAATGGGGAAATCTGTTTCTGAAGGGTGCCCCAAACCTTAAGTGAATCTTTGTGCTCTCCATGAGTGGGGCCCACCCTGTATCTTTCTAACCACTTGCCATTACTCTTGGCAAGGGACCTTCTGAGGATAGACAGAGTGCCTGGGGAGATGAAGACCAGCTGCAGCGGACTCCTTAATCACAGGGGTCTCTGCCTTGCAGAATCCAGTTGTGGAAATGGGTGTGGGTATGCAATTCTATGTGAAGGGTTCTGTCATCTTGTGTTGACAACTGGTTTAGGAAGAACAGTTGGTAAAATTCCTGTTTTCCACTGTACTGCTAGCCTGGGTGCTTCTGAGGTGAAAGCCAAGCTTTTAGGTTTTATTGCTTTTTTCTCATTTAACAATGGCTTTTTGCTTTTGAAAACATGCTTGTGCAGAACCTGGCATTACTGTAGGTGAAGGCAAAAAAGGCATATAAGCAGTAAGAAAGAGAAAGAAGCTATATAAAATTCACATAAAACATTCCATTTTAATATGCCCATGTAATGTAATGCAGAAATGTATAAAAAGTCACAGCTGACAGTAAATAAATCCTCTTGCTGAGGGATGGATCCTGTTTGGCGTCCTTCCTCGGGAAGACCCCTGATCTGCAACTGCTTCTCCTGGCAGAGGGCAACACATTTGGGGAACTGCTTCCACCCCCAAAGAAAATCCTCAGCCAGAAGCCCCTGTGGCCTCCCTCTTCCCAGCCTCTGGACCACCAGTTCAGCATCTCTCCGTGACTCGTGCTTTGTTTCTTCCCCGTCAGCCAATCGGATTGCTGGGCTTGGTCACCATGGCGACTCTTGTGAGGAGAGATGCGGGGTGGGGCAATATATAAGGGACCAGCATCCACCCAGAGCTGAAGATTAGCTGGTGCTGCTTTGCATGGTGTAGGCTTTGGAGGAGGAGGAGGAGGAGGAGGAGCCACTGCCGAAGCCTATCATTTACTCTTGGGAGACCCATGGGCAAAATCCGTTTAAATGCTTTTTAAGGTGGGCGGAAGGGAGGAGAGGGGTCGAGTAGTAGGCCTGGGGGAGGGCTTGGATTGTGGCTTAGGGGAGAGGGAGCTGGCAGGTTCTGATCCTCCTTCCTGTCTCCCGCCTGCCCCTCTGCAGAGACCTCGGATCCCCAGCAGCAACTGCGCCTCGGGGTGTTGCAGAAGCTCAGAGTTCACCGGAGAACCCCCCTGGCATTACACCTAGCCCCCTGGGAAGGAGGAAGGCTTCGGGACGGTGAGCCCCCCCCGGGCAAGGAATGGGGGGGCAGGGAGGGAATGGGGAAGCATCCTGCCCCCCCCAAGCATGGAAAAAGGCCAGGAGCAACGGAGATCTGCTGCTCCCTCTTGTCTGACCCATTAAACGCTTTAATATCCGTCTGACATGTGGGGACATGCAAGAGAGCCTGGCAGGGGAGGCAGATTTTGGCCTGCACTGGAGAGAATCTCACAAAAGCTCACTTTTTAAAAAGAAATGCCATAAGTATTTAAAGGACAGTAGAGACACACACACAAATATAAACATGCACTTTCTCAGATAACTTTTATCCAAATTGTTATCCCATTTAACTCCCTACCAAGTTTTATTCTTCCAGGCTTGGTACGGGTGGGTGGATTGAACGGGGATTTCCGCAAGTGACTAAGGGCTGGTCTGGGAACAGGATTTTTTCCTCTGAATGAACTTGATGAGATGTCTCAGTCTCAGAGGGTTTCCACAGATCCTCCTTCCCCTTTGTGAATCCCTTCCTGGTCGTGCAATCCAAAATTCTCTCCTCAACTTACTGTACACAGCTCCTCTCCCTGTCAGGGGTCGTTTGATGCTTCCCAAAACATGGAACAAGCAGGGCTCTGATCAGAACTGGTTGGGCCTGCATCTATCTTCCTTCCTTCCTTCCTTCCTTCCTTCCTTCCTTCCTTCCTTTTTGTAAATCTGCTGGAGCAAAAATAAGGAAGTCAGAATCAATGTCCCTGCTTCTAGAATGTTTTCTAAATTCTCACTTGGGTGACCATTTATTTTATTTTATTTGTATCCCGTCGTTATTATTTTTTACAAATAAGTCAAGAGGGCAAACCTATCCTATACTCCTTCCTCCTACTTTACACAAGAACAACCCTGTGAGGTGGGTTGGGCTGAGACCGAGAGACTGGCCCAAAGTCACCCAGCTGGCTTTCATCATTAAGGCAGGACTTATTCCTGTCCAATAGTTCATCAGTAAAAATAGGGGATGCCAGGAGTACGGGCATTCTTACTCCAAAGTCAGTTCTAAGCTACCCTCACAATTTATCACTTCACTAACAGTTCTGCCTCAATCCAAGTTTTTCCACAACCCTTTATTTTACACACAATAATCAGAAACAAGAGAAGTGTCATGGTCCCAACAGACAGAGATGAATAAAGCAGAACTCCGAGGCTTGCAAGTTCCTCAAAGAACATGTTTATTAATTACAAAGTATTGGCACAGTCAAGAAACCTACACAAGGAACAATTCCCCAATACAAAGTTAAATGTCCCACCCACAAAAGCTATGTAAGCAACTACGTTCCTCAATACGATTGTTTGGCGGGCTTTTTATGAAACACCCAGTCTCTAGTCCCGGGAGCAGCCAATGACCTTGGCTCCCATGGGACAAAAGATTATTTTGACTAGCGAAGCACCTGGGCAACCCCCCCCCTTCCTCTGTTCTATGTGGCAACCGAAGATGAGTAGGAAAAATGGCTGCAGCCATGCTCATTTGTAGAGTTGACATGAAGGTTGCTAATCAGCAATTACTGTGTCCCAAAGGCCACAAGTGAATTTTGACGGCAGTTGGGTGCCATGGGAAGGGTTATGCATTTACCCAATGGCTACCAGAGGGCACGGGGCTAGAGATGAAGCACTTATATCTGAGGACAAACTTGGGATGTTGCTTTCTGCACAGAGACTCCTTTTGTCTGCAGTTACAAACTAGGCCAGGGACTGCAGTGCCCCCACCCCATTATCTTCTTCTAAGAAGCTTCTGGAGCAAAGTGACTGACCTTAGTGGGCCAACGGGGCTCGTGGTCGGCCCTGCCATCCAACGTAAGAAAGTCCCGTTAAACAACAGGGCAGGCAATGTGCAAAGCGTTCAGCCACATTTATCCTTTTTATAGGTGTGGGAGAAAGCAGCGTGCTTGGGTTTTGCATTTCAGCAAGCAAGACAAACTTGTCACCATCTGTATCTGATCAGAAGATGTAAAAGCAGAGATGTTGCAAACACACTGACCTAGTTCCGGGTCAGCCTCATCTGCTGGACCTGTAAAATCACAGTCTGCACCCCAGGCCTCATATCGTAGTCACTGAAAGGTCCTTACTGTACATGTAGATGTGTTGATTGGGAGCCTGGTAGCACCTTTTCCAACTAACTAATTGTATTAAAAGTTGTAAGCTTTCAAAAATCATCATCCTAGTTGGCCAACAGATCTTCATACTTTCTGGACCACCTTTTCCAACCTGAAATATTTTGCCATCCTGTGCATCAGGTGGGAGAAAGAGATCCAGGAGCCTTAGTGATCTCCTGCCAGGTTAGGAA